AGGGATAATGTAAGGCATGAAATGTGAAATGACATTCATTAAGAATTATTTTCAAGCAATGATTGATTGATTGTGTCAATTTTTTTGTTTATGATTGATTGGTTGCAGCAAATGATATTGATGTTGTGTGTGTTTTGAGTGAAACAAATATAACAATTGCATAAGTGCATGTAGTTTTTTTTTTTTACAAGTCAAAGTTCATTTAGTTTTTAAACATCAATGAGTTTGCATGAAAAATGTGCGACTTAAACTTTGGCTTGTATACCTTGCTGAAATGAGCAATTCATTTGTTTTATTAGGAATGATTTAGTTTATCTTTTGAATGAGTGATATGCAAAAAAAAAAAAAATTGGACACATTTCTCAGGAAAATCTCTAGACATGATAATATTGTTAATTCCCTGTAGCCTTTTGATCTTTCTGATGACAAGTTTGTTATATATATCTGCAAGCTAGTCTTCTTTGTTTTAGCAACTAATTAATCCTAATTAAGATATATATGTGTTATATATATCTGCAAGCTAGTCTAACAATATTAATTATGTTAATGCTAATGTCAACAAATATGTTTTGAAGATTATGTTTTGAATTTGGGTCTCAATGTTAACAGGTATGTAAGATCGATCTTCCTTTTCTCGTAAATACAGCCAGAGGCCCCAGATTTGATATTTTTTCGTTGCTTAGCCCAAGTCTTTGAAAGTGTTCTAAACTCCCATTTCTCTTCTTGTACTTTCTTCAATCATAGAGGACGGATCTCTAACCCAGGTACTGTTTCTCAAATTCCTCATTCATCTCTATGTTCCTTTAGCTTTTTGTGTAGCCTCTTCCTATATAAATGCATATATAGATATATTTGTGCTATAATTTACCTTTTTTCTGCTTATATTTTCTGTGTTGACGAGTGCATCCCAATAAGAAGTATGTATTGACAAAAGAAGAAAAGATTGCATTCTCCACACTATCAACAATCACTGAAAGAAAGAGGGATTGCTACTTAATTTTACAACCCAACAACAAACCCCCTACTTAGTTTCGTTTTTCTAGATTTGGTTATGGATTACTAATTTTTATTGCCTTGTTTTTGCTTCATATTGGCATGAAATTAGTTGAAGAATTGTTAGCCTGGTAGGTAAGCAGTTCGAGCCCATATAATAAATTTTTAAGAAAAAGGTCTATCTCAATACTCAAAGTGTTACCATTATTGAAAGTGCAACTTAGTAGAAATTATTAAGATAGCTCACTTTGTATATTAAAGGGTTAAACTTTACAAAGTAGACCAAAAATACAAGATTTTCTCCCTTCCAAGATTAGTAAATCAGAGAATTCAGAATGATTAGTTTTTTAGAATTTAATTTTAACATTAGGGTGCGATTCTCTTTTCTTTTTCTTTTCCACTATTGTTCTTTTGTTACTTGTTTGTGTACAAGGTACTTAGGACCTCTTTTCTTTCTTCTTTTTCTTTGATTTTAAGTTCAACTATTCATGAATTCCAAATGTAAATTATAATGTGTTTTAATTTTATTTTTTCCCAGATAGGTTAGAAAAATGAACTTAGTCTCAAATAAGAAGTCCTAGAATTCAAGAATTAGTCAGCTTGGTTTATAATAATTGAAGCAGAAAACTAGATAAAAATAATTTTTTATATAAAATTCAACCACACACACAAAAGCAAAGAAAATTTTGGATGTTAGAGTGGCTTAAGCCTCATTTGTAAATGACTCCATTCCAAAGAACATATATAATACAGTATAATAGATATACCTTGTAATCTGCTTTGACAAATAATCCAAGAACACAGTTCAGGAATATATATGCCCCGGCTGTGGGAAAAGGTTTCTGTTGTTGTTTGTGATGCTGTTAGTTCTATATAGGGGTCCATTCATTAGTTTTTGTTGCATGTTCATTGTCACTAGCAAAAACCCAAGCATATTACATATATTACTTCATATTACAAAAAACAACTAAGCATACATTATTCGGTAGTACTGGGATTGAGAGGGAGCAAAGGGCATACCCATGCATGGGAATCTCAAAAAAAGGACATCACCAAAGCCACGATGGTAATCCTCATCCAGTAGGTCCTGAAATCATGAGAAAGAATGAAAAAATGTTCAGTATCCCATATTTCCGTCTCTATTAAAAGCATCAAAAGAGACCTAAATTTAACATATATGTACACATATGCATATATATAACTAATAAACTATATGACACAATCTACAAATGTATATAACTAAAACACATTGAACTAATTGCCCGTCTTTGGAGAATTGGACTGGATGTAGGATGCCTTCTGAATTCATATTATCACACTGGACAATTCAAGTATATACAGCCTAAAAATAAAAAAACCTCCCTGAATCAATTTTTTCTTTTCTTTTTATTTTATTTTATGGTAAGTCCAATCAACTCTATTAAGGAAGTTTTTGTAAAGATGAATAAGCAGCAATCAACTCTATTAAGGAAGTTTTTGTAAAGATGAATAAGCAGCCTTGCAAATACATAAAGCTGGATAAGGTTGTCATAAGATTCAACATAAAAGGCAACAACTGCCCCTCTCAACCCCCTTCCCTCTTATAGTACAACATTGAACATGTGGTTAGCATCAGCATTGTTTTAAACTTAAAACTTCCACATTGGAAGTTATATGAAACCAGGCTTGGTCCCCTAGTTGACATTTGAACATTAAGTACTAGAACTACTAAAGAAGCTAACACAAGCACACATACACACACATATAAGATACTCTACCAGAAGTCATACTCTGGGAGTCCGCGAACGAAGGGCTTGAATTCGGCTGGGTTAATTACGGGGAGAGGATGAACTATAAAGTGAGGTAGGTCCAGTGATGACAGATATTTTCCCAGGAGAAATATCACCCAAAAAAAACACACACACACACACACACAACTGTGAAAGCTGATCACCAAAGAAACTCCCACCAGCATTAACAACACTGGTCTTCACAACCCTTATCGTACCTCTATCATAAGATATTTCCAGCTACAATACTAAAGGAAAATAAATATCAAATTTTTAACTTCTCACAAACCCAGGAATTTAAAATAGGTGTGCGTGAGAGAGAGGGAGAGAGTAAACTTGTAACATGTACTACCTAACAACCATTAGGTGTGCAATCTCCATGCATTTCGTTTTCAATTGAATCACCTCTATTGCTTTGTAATGCACCAATTCTTGCTGTATGATGTAGAAGTGAGTCAAGACCATGTTAATACTTGCTTTGCTTGAGTTAATACGAAGAGTAGATCTTTCAATGTACCTTTATTATAATGCTTGCTTTGCTTGGTTTAATTTTTGCAACTTTATAAATTGCTTTACATTAATTCTCTTACTTCAACTATTACATCTTTGTAGGTCAAAGCTAGGATTGCGGGTTACAATTGCTGTTACTTTTTTTTTGTTTCTGCTATTTTTTTCGTATGGCTCATGAAGAAATTGCATATATGGAAGAGATATTAAAACAGAGCAAGAAAATATGAAGAATTTTTGTTTTATTTTGGTTAAGTAAATATATAAGGTGTGGATCATGTACTTATTTGAAATTTGTATATGGCTAATTTTTGTATAAAACAATGATTTGGAATTGGTTATATATATATATATATGATGTTATTGGTCAATTGTAAATTATTTTAGTTATGATGCTATTTTTTATTTATTTAGGATTTACATATGGGTCCTTGCAAGGCTAAAAAAAAAAAAAAAAAGCTGCAAATGGGCTACACTATTTTTTTTTATTTTTTATTTTTAATTTTATAACACTTTCTACCACGGTTATGCACCGTGGTAGAAAGTCTATTACTTTCTAAGAAAATAGACTTATTACCACAGTGCATAACCGTGATAGAAAGAAAGACTTTCTACCATGGTGCGAAACCGTGATAGAAAATAGACTTTCTACCACAGTTCCGCACCGTGGTAGAAAGTCTCTACTTTACTACCACGACTGTTTCTACCATGGTTCAAAACCGTAGTAGAAAGCCTTTTCCACCGTAGTAAAAAGTCATCTTTCTTGTAGTGTATATACATGATTCTTTCCGATCACTTTTTATTATTATTATTATTTTTATTTTTATTGGAATGCTTTTATAAGAATTCTATAAGAACTTAATTTTTACAAAATCTAGAATAAAAATTTCATTTGAAATTTAGAATATCAACAAAAATCGATGATTGAATAATCTAAATTCTTATTTTATTAATTTGTTTGTGTTTTATTTATTTATTTATTTTTTATCATAGTTATAATTTTTATTGATATATTGTATAATGATTATTAATTTGTGCAAGTATTACATGAATTTCTTTTTTTTTTTTTATAAATTAAAATCTAATTGTTTAATTAAATTTTTTTTATTTTTATAATTTTGGCATAAATCTTATTTGTGTTTGTTCAGAAAGTTTTATAAAAAGCTTGTTTAAATAACTATATATTTTTAATTTAAATAAATTGGCAAAAGTTTTGATAAATATATTTTTGTATGAATACCTATGTAATTTTTTTTTCCCCAAAATATTCTAATGTTGCTTATAATTTTGGCCTCCCAACCTCAAGATCCTAACTCCGCCTCCGCTCAGGAGGTATCAATGTAAAAAAAAAGCCAAACAAACAAGTCTAATTTTCACAATGTGTAGTTTAATAAATTACTTGTAATATTTATAAAAAAAAAGAAGTTGCAAAGAAAATGTATCGTGATTTTGAAATATATATCTTATTAAAAAGTACAAATATTTAAAAAGTAGACTGAGATTTTTGGCCTAAAAAAACAAGTGGAATTCTACCAAAATAAGTAACAAAATTACAAATTGAATGAAAATGGATACATCAACCGAACATAAGCAAACTCATGCACATAGCAACATTAGGGGATTAAAAGCCCTTGATTAAGGACATAAACATAGCAACTCATGCACAAGTATGTTATTCCAACAACACCAATACATCGTATCGAGGATAATTAACAACCATAAACACGCCCCTTAGACCTTCCTGTTTAGGCTGAACCGCTTGGCGAAAAAGCTATCTCTCACCCAAAGGGGTGACCATGAAAGGAAAGCAAACAAACAAGTCATGTGACCAAAAACAATCTGTTTCGGCGGTCTACCTCTCAAAACGTTCTTCGCTACATGCCTTGCAAACACCTTAGCATCCGTTGTTTTTTCACTACGCTGCGAAGCCCATGCTCTCTCTTCAATGGCATCCTTGAATTCCTTATAAAGTTTCCATTCACAATTCTTCAATTTATCGACGCTGTTTCTACCAATGTTTGATCTTATAGCTCCCGCAATCACCATCACCACATCGATGCCGAAAGGCCTTAATTCAACCCGCAAAGTGTTCGATATGGCGTGCACAGCAGCCTTGGTAGTACAATAAGAACCAGCCCAAGGGGTTGGTACTTTCCCCACAACACTCCCTATGTTCACTATGGTTCCACTGCGTCGCGACGCCATGTGAGGCACCACCTGTTGCACCATCCTCAGCTGCCCCAACACGTTAATTTCGTAAGCCTTTCGAATCTCATCCAGTGAGAGCTCTGCCAAGGGCCCCGGGCTTCCTATCCCAGCATTGTTGATCAGAACGTCAATTCGGCCATACTTGGAAATGACAGTGTTCACAGCCGATTCCACACTTTCATCTGAAGAGACATCGAGCTCCAGTGTCTCAACATTATGTGATGAGAGTTCGGACATGTCATCCACGCGTTGAGAGATGTCAGAGGCGAAGACATGGCAATTTTGCTCTGCAAATGCCTTGCAGTACTCGTAACCGATGCCACCTTTGGCACAGCCAGTGACGAGTACAACCTTGTTTTTGTTAAGTAGCATAGCCTTGTGGTCACTCATATTTCTGTGTGTTGAAGTTGAATAATTTCTCACCATCCTTATATGGGATGAGATTACTAACTTAATCTACTGTGTTTTGTCCGTCACCCAATTAACTAATTCTTCTTCTTTGTAGTTTTACTTGAGAATATACTTGAGGGTATATGCTTGAATGATTTCTACAACATTGCCGGCTAATTATTTAAGTTGTGGAGGGGCCTTTACTATCTAGAAGATACCGCCTTGCAATTGTTATGATTTAGTTGCATATATGTATATATAATTGTTCACTTACTCTCTTATGTGCAAAAAAAAATGTATGCACGCACACTTCAATTATTAACCGTTAGATTTCATTGGACAGTTAAAAAGTAATTTATTTTTTTATATCCAACGGTTAGAAATTAATTCTTGCATAAATTTTTTACACACCAATAAACAAGTGAACAATCCTCTCTCTCTATATATATATATATATTCAATTTGGAATATACAATCATATTCAAAACTAGCTATGTTTAGCTTGCATTTGCCTTTTCATCCCTTATAAAATATTTGGATTGAAACTCATAAATGAAATCATATTACACATTATATGACATGGTGTGCTTGAGATTGAAGCTATACTGGTTTTTTTTTTTTTTTTTTTTTTTTTAATTGTAAAATTAAATATTATTCCCTATGCCCAGTCATAACAAAAAAAGAGAAATTGAAAACTTTGGTGTCGGTATCTTATGGAGATAGTAGGAAACCCGCCGTAATGAGAGACTAAGGCTATGTTTGATAGGGTGAGTTTGAAGGGGAAGAATAACATTAGTTATGAAAGAAATGGAAGGAAAGAGAATAGGAGAATAATTTTAACCTCTTATCGTGTTTGGTTGATTAATGAAGGAAAGGAAATGGAAGGATAATAATTATGTTTGGGAAAAGAAAAGAAAAGAAAGGGAAGGGAATTATTTTAATAAATTGACTATTATACCCTTTTATATTTTAATATATATATATATATATATATATATATATATATATAGTCTCATGTATTGACCACTAGGAAAAATAAAAATAAAAATAAAAAAATAGGGCAAATCATTTCAGCCTCCCCCAATCTCGCCTCTATCTCTATTTTATATATATATATATATATATATATATATATATAGTCTTTAACTTGAGACTACAATAAAAGAAAAAAAAATAAAAAAATAGGGCAAATCATAAGCCTCCCCAATCTCGCTCCATCTCTATTCTCCTTCTCAACACTGAACTTGCCCTCTCTCTCTCTCTCTCTCTCTCTCTCTCTCTCTCTCTCTGCACTACAAGAATCACAAATTCAAAACCCATATATTTCCAGTTTATCTCTATTTGCAAGAATCAAAACTTCAAAACCCATATCGGCATCATTTCAGATTGTTCAAAAAATCAAAACCCATATCAGTTTCCATCGCCCGCTGCTGTTCCAATTCGGGTTCGCCGTTCACCGTTCGCAAGCAAGCTTTGCCGTTCTCAACTCTCTGTAACTGCTAAATCAACTACTTAAGGGCAAAATTGGCATCTGAAATCACACACAAGCTACTCCTTCCCTTTCCCTTTCCCTTCATTTCCTCCCATTTTTGGGAGGTTAAGAAATTCACTGTTGAAGGCACAAGTTAACCCTCCAAACCCTTCTCTTCCCTTCCTTTTCCTTCCAACAATTTTAGCTAAACACAAATTTTTAATCCCCCTCCATCACCTTCCCTTTCCTTTCCTTCCATTTCCACTCTACCAAACTGACTCTTACCATTTTCTGATATACTACTACTCACAATGTCTATCACTAAAAAAAAATAAAAATAAAAAATGTCTATTATTAGCCAAAAATAAAAAATAAAAAAAGAGGAAGAAGAATGATTAACCACATCTGACAAATTAACAACTAATACTTTCACATATAAAATATTTTAATTTTTTGGTGTTTGATTGTAATAAAATATTTATAAATTAAAAAAAAAATATTAAAACTTAACAAACATAACATACTTGCCAATTTTTGATAAGTTATTTTACAAGCACTGCGGACATTTACCCTGTGACGATCTTGGATTTTTCAACCCTGTGTGTGTCTTGTGATGACCCGAAGCGGATCCAAAATGCGAAAGATAGAACAAAAACAAGGTCTTTAGAAATGTACGTCATCCTTAAGACACAAGAGTGACCCTCCAAAGGGTGTCAGATTTGGTTCGAATCGGGATATGGTTTATTTGGGATCTCACTTCTTTTGACCTTGGGACTTCATGTGAAGTTGTCAAATAATGTTTTTGAATTTTTTGATCTCATTTGACTTATTGGAAGTCAAATTCCTTCCTCTTCGGGTAAAATGGTCATTTTACCCTTGGTCCTTCTCTCGTAGGGTTTTGATACCCTTGTTTTCGTTTCGTTTTCGTGTACATCTCTAAAGACCTTGTTTTTGTTTTAACTTTCGCATTTTGGATCCGTTTCGGGTAATCACAGGACACACTGGGTTTGTAAAATCTAGGGTCGTCACATACCCAACACTGAAAATATATATATAGTTTTTTTTTTTTTTTTACTTGAAATTATTTTTTTTTAGGAAATTATTTTACACCTAAGATTTTTTTTTTTTCATTTAGGATGGATGGATTCTGTTCATAATGAGAAGATTCCAAGAAAAACTCTTTTACATACTTTTTCTGAACTAAATTGTTGTTCCAAGAAAAACTCTTTTACATACTTTTTTTCTACTGCATGTATGTAAACCAATTTTGGTAGTTTTTAAAAATTTTCTATTTATGTAATGACCAGAAATTAGGAAATATTAATAAACATACCAATATTATCAAATAGTATCCCGTTGTGCCACTCTGATAAATAAATAAATCACCAAATCACAAACTAATAAATCTTTCAATAGCGCCGTAAGGCTCAGTTTATTTTAAAAGTACATGGAAGTAAGACTGATCACGGATTTGATCGGTTCAGTTTGAGGGTTAAGTTCAATTCAATTCAGTTTTCACGGATTGGTGAAATTTAAAATCGAACCAATCTGTGGAACCTTCAATCCGAACCAAATCGATCCGTAAAATAACGGATCGGATCAGATCGGTTTTTATGGATTGAGCTTTTCAAACAGCTCAATATAATTACACTTTATGACCATTAAAATATCAAATTAGTAATTAAAAACATGTAACTAACTTTTTAACGTATATCACACAAAGTTAAATTATCTAATAACAAAATAGAATTGTAAATCATCCAAAAATGAAAAGTATTAAATAATGAATTAAAAAATATATATATATATTTTAAGTATATTGTATATATATAGTTATATCTATAATTAAGGTAACGGATTGGTTCGGTTAACTGATTGAATCGGTTTTTTCGGGGCCAATCCATTAACTGAACTACGAATAATCTCATGAAAATCGAACCGAACCAAATCACACGGATCGAATTGGTACGGACCGAATTAACGAATTATTTGTTCACGCTATACAGGAGTTTGAAAATTTTGGTAACGAACTATTGAACGTTCTCTTTCCTTTTGGGCCTGGGCCCTTAGAACTGGCATAGATGCTTTTTGGGTGTTTTTTTGGGTCTTATGACTCTTGTCTCATAAAGCACGTGGTTATCCCCCTTCACATGGGCCTCTTTCTCGACTTGGGCTTCCTTGTATACTCTTTGTTCATGAAAAAAAAAAAAAAAAAAAAATTATATATATATACACACACACACATATATATAAAATAAAAAATAAAGATTACTCAAATCTCCATATCCTTTCTCCTAATTGATAAATAAGGTTTTACGAATATATATAAGTACAAATTATTCTCTTTTACATAAAAATACAATTCACGTGTTCGGAGTCATTGCACAACAATATGCTAAATCAATCAGCAATATAAGAAATATAAATAATTAGATCAATATAACAACTAAAATATTATTTGTAATATTTTCATTGGATAGTCTTTGTATTTTGAAAATGTAGGAAAATAACACCTCATGAATTATAGTAATAAATTTAAATAAGAACAGAAAAAATATATATATATATATACAACCATATACACAATATAAAAAGAAGAATTTTAAGTAGAAAGAAAAAAATTGAAAATGAAAAGTTTGAAAAGAAAAAAAAATTAGATTTTGATTGAAGAGGGGAAATTTAACTTTTTTTAAAAGGAAATTAAATGAATTTTAAGAGAAAAAAATGAAAAATTTAAGAAATAATATTAAAAATTAAAATTTTTTATTGGTTAGAAATTTTTTATAAAAGTAAAAATAAAATAAAAATAGTTACATTTTATAGTTAGCGGGGTCGGAGAGGCACATGCCCCGGGCGCGCACACACTCCACCGCAGTGTACACGACCCCGGCTCCACCCTTCCATTACGAGATTGTTGGATCTAAAGATTTTAATCGCAGCATAATGAATTACAATAAAAGGGCTTCGTTAATTACATCATAATGAATTACAATAAAAAGACTTGTTAGAATAAAATCGTTAGTAAGTTTGCTGAAAAATTAAATTCAATAATATAACACCGATGGAGGTTTTTTAGTAGATAATATTAAAGTTTTGGCCTCATCCAAATTCGTACAATATCAAATTCTATATAAGAATATTTAATTTGGAAATCATTATCCATTCAAAGAAAGCCGAAAACATCTACAATATTCTGGAGACAAATGGTGCCTTCGCTTCGAGTATATACGCAAGGACGTACCCAATAACCCTAGCTAAGAGCTAAGAAAACAAAGGAAACACAAGCAAGTTAAATAAAAAGTGGCAGATGGAATTCAATTAGAAACCAAAGAGAAGCACCCAAGAGGAGTGCCATGGAAGTAGATGTAGGGACACATGATTTGTCGCTGTTGTTGCCCTCATGTTGTTTCGTTCCACTTCCACCGATAGGCATTGCTCTACCCCTGCCTCCGCCTTTGCTGCCTCCACCTCTGCCCCCGCCTTTACTGCCTCCACCTCTGCCCCCGCCCCCGCCCCCGCCCCCGCCACC